TCTCTCTCTCTCTCTCTCTCTCTCTCTCTCTCTCTCTCTCTCTCTCTCTCTCTCTCTCTCTCTCTCTCTCTCTCTCTCTCTCTCTCTCTCTCTCTCTCTCTAAATTGGGAAGTGAAGTCACTCTTAAACACTGAAAGCACCGACGCTGCTTCTCATGAAACCGACATTTACTGCTCAGAAGGAAAAACAAAAACCTCTGTTGTTTGTTTGTGTGTGCTCGCGCCTTAGATATAGAATCATATTGGAAGGCAGAAGAACTTCATAGAAACTCACAATCTCTAACTTAAAACAGATTCTTAATGTTTTGCAATAGTTTAACCACAGTGAAAATGAAAGGGGGCCACTGACTACTGAATGCCTTTAAAGTTTCAGAGTAAAAATAGCTTTTATGGTTAAACAAAAAAAAAGACAATCTATATCAAGACCTGTGCTTTTGGAGACATGCCATTAATGTCTCAAATGGCACATTACATACCAACATATAGGGTCAAAATACATAAAAATGGTGCTTGAGGATCTAACTCCTTCACTGGAACAGCTCAAGATATTACTGAACAGGTGTACAAACTTGGCTTATTGTTAAAAACACTGAAACTTTGGAAGATATCCTTGATTTGTCTAACTCCCACTACTGAAGCCATTAACTTCAGATCAACTTAAGCACATTACTGAGGACTGTAGATTTTGTTCCATGAGTCTACTTGAAAAAACTTTCTCAACGTGTAAGTGTCCAGTATGAATAGGAGGAATGATTACAGCACAGCAAGCAAAAGCTTGTTTTCATTTGGCACCTGACTTTTGTTTTACATCATTCAACTTCCTGAATGTTCATGAAAATAACAGAATGTCACAGGATTTTTAAAGCAGGTAACTTTATTCTCCATCGTCGAAGACCATTTTATTGAACAAACAAAGAGCTATTCAGTTCATCCGGTCCAAAGGATCCTTTAAAGTGCATCAGCAAAGCCATTTCTACAGGTAATTCCATTTTCAGCCTCACTTCCTGTTACATTCAGTCCTTACGCCAGTGGTAACAATAGTCAACAGTATGGCACTTGTGTAGTATTTTTGTTCAATCTGATTGTGTTGAGGATAATCTAACAATATTGAATACTAGAAAATAAGTCACTTTGTATCCTTGGCGACAGTTGTTGGGAGTGAAGTAAACTGCTTCACAACTTCATACAAAAAGGCCAAAGGAAGTTGTAAAGTGAGACAAATTAAATGGCTTTAAAACCGACATATGGGAACAGGCTGTAGTGGAATGTAACTAAATACATTTACCCAAGTATTGTACTTACATTTGAGGTACTTGCACTTTGAGTATTTTCTTTTCATGCCACTTTCTACTTCTACTCCATTACATCTCAGAGGGAAATATTGATCACTTTACTTCACTACATTTACAGCTTTAGTTTCTTTTCAAATTAACATTTTTGCATACAAAACATATGAATAGTTTATAAAATATGATGCTAAATTATACATTAAACAAACAGATAAATCAACAAATAATAACAATCAACAAACAAATCTGGAGGTTTGGACTGTTGGTTGGGCAAAGTGTTACTTTGGGCTCATTGTGATGGCGTTTCTCACAATTTTTTTACAAACGAAAATAGTGAATAATGGAAAAAACAATCAGCAGTTAAATTCAAACTTGCAAATAATCTTTATTTGCTGTTCAATACAAACTAAATCTCCATAAGACCCTGCTTTTGTAGTGATGCAACATTCCAATGATATATTTTACTGTACTATACTGGATAAAATACCATATTACATTAATATTCTGCTGTAGCTGCACTATATTACTGTATTACTATTATTACGTTGTACTTCATATACCTATACTGCACTATCATATGTCTTACCACATACCCTATTATGTTTCCATTTTAATACATACAACACTATCATTACTTAATTACAGAATATGTTATTCTGATGTACAATGTTTACACATATAAACTTGCTGCTATTACCATGCAACTTTAACCATCACTTAGCTCATAACTTTGTCCTTAATTGCTCTTATTTCATTCTTTCCTACTCTTATTTAACTCTTATTCATTTCTTATTTTTCTTTATTTCTGCCTGGGGATCAGTAAATAGTTATATAATCTTATAATAAAACTGTCACAAGGGACATTTTTCTATACGTCTGATACTTCGTGTGCATTTTTTTCCTGATGTATTGACATATTCACGGTGTATTACTTTTACTTTACTAAATGATCCAAATACTTTCTCCACCAGCTGACTGCTGAACACTATGACATATTTAAGTTCAATCTTGAGAATAAACACTTCCGAAGCATTTATTCATCGACGACTGTTTTCATGAACCGTCTGCTCCAGAGTGCCATTACAACTTGTATTATTTTAATTTCCGGGAGATTTGACGCTGTTTGCGCGCTTATTGCTCCGTGACAGTTAACTTCAGCTGTGACCCACAGTGTCATTTTCCCAGGTGGATTCCTGATCGTTCACTGCAGACGGTTGTTAATCACCTCGTGTTGTGTAACCTTATCCCGGTTGTGTCCTCGTCTCGAGGTCTCGAGGTGGGGCTCCCAATCACGACTCCCGTCTCCCACCGACGCGCACGATTTCAGCCAGCTCCACTTTTCCAGATGGAGCTGTGCGTGTGTGTGTGTGTGTGTGTGCGTGTGTGTGTGTGTGTGGGTGTGTGTGTGTGTGTGTGTGTGTGTGTGTGTGTGTGAGTGCGAGTTGTTTGTTTATACAAGGCCCTGGGCTCGGCCTTATCTGCTGCAGCCACTCACGCCGTGATTTCAGTCTTTCTTCAGCGAGTACTTGTGTGTACGTGTGTGTGTGTGTGTGTGTGTGTGTGTGCTTGTGTTTGTGTGTGCTTTTTACGGGCCATTGTTTTGTCGAATGGTTTCTAAAGATACAGCGTTTTTTTTGTTTTTTTCTTCCTCCCACCTCATTAGAAACCGACTGCTCTGATTTCAAACGCCTGCACTTCATCTCCAGCCAAACTGTGGCTCAGTTATTTAGTCCCGCCTGTCAGGCAATCAGAGTGACCGCATCAACTTTGGAAGACGTTGAGGCCATTCCGAGAATAAAAATAACACGGATGGTTGTTTTGACTGCCTATTATTCAGCGTGTAATCAATTCTTACGGTTTTCCTCTCAGGATTTTTTTTACTAAATCCTCAATAGGCGTAAAGTTGTAGAAATATGCTTCCCCTTGATATCCATTTATAGGCCTATTAGGCAATATATCAATAATTACTTGAGTTGACTGGCTAACTACCATGTGTTATAGGTTGCTATTGCTGTAGCAGGCATGGGTTTCCATATATCATAAACACTTTATGAGATGTTTTTAGGGCTACAAGTAACGGTAATTTTCATTGTCACTGGTTATGTTCTCGACTAATCAATTCATCGTTGAATCTATAAAAAGTCTGAAAATAAGAAATTCCTTTAACATGTCAATCAGAATGGTTGCCTCAACTGTTTATTGCTGAATAACTTCAGCTCTATTGTTTTTATTCTTTTTGTGAGTTTCTTTAGATTATTTTCTGTTTATCAATAATTTTCCCTTAATGTCAATTTTTGCCATCAATAAAAAATCCTACACATATATTTATGATCTCATAGGTAGTGGAAAGTATAACTAAATAGCCAACATTTACTCAATTACTGTAGTACTTAAGCACAATTTTAATGTATTTGCTCGAATATTTTTTATTTTAGATACTTATACTACAGTAGCCTATGTAACAGGAAAATATATACTTTTTATTCACTAACAGTTCTTTTTCAGATTAAAAGTTAACACTCAAAACATTTAGGCTTAATAAGTAAATAAAATGTTATATTCCACCAACCAGTAGCTTCACTTTATAAAGTATGGTAGCTGGACAGGCTGGACATTAATTATAATGTTAATAATACTCGGATACTGAAGCATTTAATGACGGGGTCATTCTGCTGCCTATAGCCTCTACTTTTGATTGGTCATTTCTGTTGCTCATTCTTTTTTATTTTTACAGTTTGATATTGACACTTAACTTTAAGTTCTTAATACTTCTTCCTCCACTAATCGATTCAAACTCCTCGTGATATATTTTTGCCGGAACATTACGGTGTCAGTGAGTATTTTATGAATGAGTGTTTAGATTTTTTTTTGTTGTTGAAAGGGGGGGGGGTGCGACTGACGTCACGTTCTATTAAACAAACTGGTCACGACGCCGAGCGCGGGCACGCGCCCCTCCCACCTCCGCTGCGTTTATAACGGGACCGTTCCGGCCGGAGACTGACCACTCGTTGTTGTGCGTGTAGCCGGTAAATAAAGTGTGTAAATCTGTGCGAGATAGAAAGAGATGTACTGGGACACTATCACCAAACCTGGAGACAGAAACACAGACAGCAAAGACTCGAAAATAAAGGTAGGTTTTAATTTCATTTAATGGAATACAGAAAATCACAATAAAGGCAACTATTGGGTTCATATAGCAGCAGTTTGGTTGGGAAATATGATGGGTTTTTGAACTATTTTCTTACATTTTGTAAACTAACAACTAGACAAATGTTTTTGAGAATGAAAATAATAAGTCTCTTTATCTGAGATAATCCTTGATGGTGCGTTCAATAACATAGGCAATGCACTCGAGTTCAGTTGTAAGAGAATCACACTAAAAAGACAAATCATTGTGAAACAGATCATGTAACTGTAGATCTTTAACAAAGAAAGGTTGCTGTGCATCAGGTGACTCATGTCTCATGTCTGACTTTTCTCCACAGCACCTAATGCATCAGAAATTAAGTTTTTTTTTAAATAGGCCTCACAGCTGTACTACTGCATGATACCATGACTTTGACCAAACGATCATTTAAAAAAAAAAACAGTTGATGATCAAATTCAATCTGATGTGTTCCTTATTTCAAGTATGTATACAAGTATTACATTTTTAATTTTCAAAACAATATTTAGTGCAAGGCTTTTCATGTTGCCTTTGCCTCTAGATTTTGATCAACATGGAGAGTTGCCATGATGATGAAAGTTGTAATCACGACTCTTTCAACACAGATGGAGATTTGCCAGACTGGATATTACACAGAAGACTTCAGGACACAGGAAGTGCCGGCTGGCTTTGACTTTGCATCTTATGGTGAGTTCAGAGAATCACTTACACTTGATTTTCTATTTTCTATTTCCTCCAACACAAGTTAGGCATCATGACTCATGATGGCACAAGGTTTAAACTCTCAGCGATGCCCTGACAGAGTTATGTTTTTGTTTTTTATGTTTGCGCAATCTGTTTCCTCTGAACCTGAGCAGATGAAGGACAGAGGAAATATTTGCGCAGACTGTATCATCACATCTGTCAGAGGTTTCTCGATGAGACCTTGACACCCGGGGACTCTCGCTCAAACCCTGGGGTGCTGCTGTGTGTGTGTGTGTGTGTGTGTGTGTGTGTGTGAGTGTGAATAACGCTTGAATGGGCTGAGGTAGGCAAAGACAGACAGAAAAAGGGTGGTCAGGTTAAAGACACTCCCCTCTCTGTCTTCCCTAATCCTTTCCTCCAGACTTCCTCCTCCAACAGATTTAGAGTAACCCCCCTCCCCCTTCCCCAGACCTCCATCACTACTCTGTCACACTCCCTCAGCTGGCGTTTCCTCCCGTCTCTTCCTACCCCTCCCTCCCTCGCTTCCTCCAAGCTGCCCCCATCCATAGAGCTGAAAAAACCTGAGTGCCGGGTGCTGATTTGACAGTAAACAAGCAGCTTTTTGTGTGTGTGTGTGTGTGTCAACATCCACCTTTAAGATAAAAACCAACAAACTTACAAATTCACCCCATCTTGCATCTCTTCATGACTCTTTTGCTGAGCTGAGCTGTAATAGACCTCCAGCTTAAAGGACCATACCAATGATCTCAAAGCACATTCACTACACAGTAGACATGTGCTGAATTAAATGGAAACCATAATAGCTGGCCCAGTAGAGATGAAATCAACCAAATAACTTTACTTAATGTAGAGTAAAACAATTGGGGTGTTCCTTCTTCGAGCATGAACTCTCCCTCTATCCTGCCTTCATCATCACCTACTGACTCCATCTGTCTGCATTGTGTTTAACCTCCAGACTACCCTGAAGACCTGTCTTTTCTGTTAGACAGTAAAGCCCCCGTGCAGCAGCAGCAGCAGCAGCAGCAATATGTCGCAGAAAGCAGCTACCCAGAGCCACCCAAAGCTTCTCACCCTTACGACACTAAAGGTGAAACCTCAATAACAAACATACCCCTTATGGGTGCTGCAACAAGCCACGTTTTAGACTTATCTCACATTTGTTTGTTGCTCTTTTTATTTTTCCTGCAGTGAGTGGCGGTGACACCTCCCTCTTCAACCTGGACTCGTACCAGGAGTTTAACTGGTGGACCTCGTACTCACATGGTCAGCTCATACTCGTACTGTATTTAAAGTACTTTTACTTTTTTTAAAGGGATTTGTTTTTGTAACTAACTTTCTGTTTGATGTATAGATGGACTGACGGTAGACCAGTCACAAACTGGATACCAGGAGTCTCCACAGACGTACCAGAGCCTGGTGCCCCAGAACGGACAGTTCAGCCCGGCCGTGGAGGGCAGCCACAGCCCCTTTCTAACCGCAAAGGGATCAAATACATTACAAAGTAAGTCGTTTCACCTGTGGATGTTAAAAACACCCCGTGACTGGTCTAACTCTTGCAGTTCAGTGTGTAATCCCGTCTCTTTGTTCCAGGTGAGACAGATCAGAGCTACTCGTGTCACTCGGCTGAACTGTACGACTCTGACGGACAGAGGCAGCCCTCTTCTTTCTGGCCTGAGTACTCCTCTCCCAGCTTCACTGCCCCCCCACCCCACCCGCCTCCGGCCCCCGGCCCTCAGTCCTCAGAGCAGTACTGCCCCCGTGTGGTCAAACGCAAGAACACACCCCCCCAGAGGCTAGACAGGGAGGGCCACATGACGGGAATGTCAACTTATCCAGGTTTGATCTCTCATCTCTTTTGAGCTGCTCTAAAAAAAGTGTATAAATTATAGAAAATAGCACCACGTTGACGATACTACAACATTAAAATACTACCTCCATATTAATGCATTAGCAATAATATTCTGATAGTAAAATGAATATAGTAAAACACTCATAGTGGCCATTTCTCAGACTTTTTCAAGTTACTCAAACAGTAAATAAAGTACATGTGTTACATGTAATAATTCAGATGATTTTATGTTTTCTGTTATAATCAGGTTTTGGTTAACCTGATTATAACAGGTTAACCAAAACTCAACAGTTCTGTAACCAAATAAATACAATTTGATTCATTCTTTCAGGTTCCGGTCCAATCCAGTTGTGGCAGTTTCTACTGGAGCTACTTCTGGACTCTGCTTGTCGCACCTTCATCTGCTGGACGGGAGACGGATGGGAGTTTAAGATGTCCGACCCCTCAGAGGTGAGGACATCTCTTGTTTTGGAGTACTACATGGCAGTAGTGGAAAGAAAGTACATTTACTTAAACTTATATAACAGTACATTTCAGAGGGAAATAGTGTACTTTTTAACAACTAATACTTACCTTTTAGATTAAAATAAAATGCATTGTTAAATCAATGTTCAAAGCCCAAAGAGGTCAAATTGTCCTTCCTTTAAAAACCGTGCCATGTAGCTAAACAAAGAGAATTACGTTGACACTGATCAAAGCTCCACTAAACGCTTCGCTACCAGTATCATTACATTATTAACATCAATGAATGTTGAATTGCTTGCTAAAAGCTAGCTAGCTTTTTGTTGTTGTTGTTGATCGAATCGGTACAAATTACCTTTGTAATGTAACACAAAGTATTTAGTTAAGGTTAGTTTGGCCCCCTTGTTTCATCGAACTCTCAAATAATGGTAAAATGATTGAATACATTTGACAAATGGGGGGTTAGATTTCAGGGAGCGTTAAGTGAATCATCTCACGACTGCTCACATTTATCTTGTGACCCTTTGGAGACGCCAGACCCCTGGATTATAAACCACTGGACTAAACTAGCGTGTATTATAACAATATATAAAGTAGTTAAAACCAGCTCCACCTCAAGCAGCTACAACCGTAGCATGCTACATACGTGTGATAGTTGCAGTACATCTACCTTTTGTTATGTAGGACTTTGAATGCAGGACTTTGGATTGTTTTTGCATTGTTGTTTAGGCACTTAAGTAAAGGATCTAAGTACTTCTTCCACATTTGCTATACATGGACGGGTTATTCATTGTTTTTCTGAGATACAAACACACATTCATCTGTGTTTTTTTGTTTTGTTAATCCCACAGGTGGCTAAGCGCTGGGGCCAGTGCAAGAACAAACCCAAGATGAACTACGAGAAGTTGAGCCGTGGCCTGCGCTACTACTACCACAAGAACATCATCCACAAGACGGCGGGCAAACGCTACGTCTACCGCTTCGTCTGCGACATACAGGGCATGCTGGGAAAGACGGCACAGGAGGTGCTGACCAGTCTGAACGTTGTGCCCACAAACACAAAGTCGTGGCCGTCGTGCCCCGGGGTGCCAGCGGCATCGGAGCACAGCAGCGAAACGTGGGCGTCTCAGTAGGAAAACGGTTAACACAACTACCAGGAGTACTAGGCCCACAGTCTACAAAGGGAACGCTGCCTCCTCGAGCTCTCGCTGAACAGTATCCTCATGGGGGGATTATGTCACAGACAGCCGGTTTATACATGCTGTACTTCAGGGAGTCAAATAACCAAAAACTCATAAATTCATATCCAGTCTTTTCTTAAATGATGGATCGGTCTCCCAATACCTGACCCATAAACACATGGCACCTCAGGGCTAAATAACTGCAGCACATGGGGCATTTAAAGCTACTTAAAGGTTTAAAGATACTTCTTTTGCAACGTCAGGGGCCATATTTTCATTTGATGGGTTTCTAAGAAGGAATCGATGTGTAAATAGTGTTTATATGACCGCCTTGTAGGGTTTTGTGCATTTATATTATAATTGTTTTGATACAAAACTCATGTCTACCTCTGTTGCTAGTCAGAATAACGTAAACTGAGATAATTTCCAGGCACGCACTGTGAACGTTTTAGCCTGTGTGATGATTGTTTTGTGTAAATAAACTGTATATAAACATAGAATTGTGTGAAGAGTCTCATTACACACATGCGCACATACACATGCACACACACACACACACACACAAAAACACTTTTTAGTCTGGATTCTGCCTTTAACATCAAAATGTTGAATAATTTTTGTTGAATTGTAGCATTTTTAAGTTTTATATATTACACATTTATATTTGACATGTAGTTGACAGAAGAAGTTAAACTGCAGGAGCTGAGCCAGTGGTTTGCTCATGTAATTAAACTGAGATGATATTCGTTTACTGGTCAAATCAATCTGTGTGAAGCTGCTTGTATGATATATTTATATATATATTTGTATTGTTTTGGTTATTTTAGGAGTATAAATGCATAGAGAGTAAACCGTTTAGCCTATAGCGGCTCGAGGCTGGCTATAACCCTATACATAGTGCTAGTATATCACATATAGGCCACAAGCTCTTCCTTATCTATTGCTGTCTTCAAGTGCTGCTCGTCGTAGGTACAGAGCGTTCACGTGACGAGAGGACGTGTTACAGTAAGGCTTATGTAACATTGCCACCTGGGGTTTCATAATTTCGATACTCGGATATCGGCTTTGAACGCGTCCTTCCTGAACGTGTCAAACTTGGGTGGATTCATCGATACATTGAGGGAATATATCGACCGCCTGCTGCCCAAACGGGAAAATAAATAAAATCAGATCTCTTCACCGTTAATAGGTTTAAGAAATGCCTCCTAAAACAATTAAGATGGCTTTGGTGGACATGATGGAGGACCTGTCGAGTCAGAACTTCGAAAGGTTCTGCCACGATCTTCTGGACCGCAGAGAAGAGCCGCAAGTCAGGCGCAACAGGGTGGAGGGTAGAACCCGCTTAGAAGTCGTGAGCGTCCTAGTTTCCACTTTTACCGAGCCCGTTGCTGTTCAAGTGTCCGTGGAAATACTGAGACAGATTAGCCTCAACGACGAGGCGGAGAGACTTGGTGAGATACGCCGCCGTACAGCCTTCAGGATACTGTGTGTGTCCGTGGTTAACTGCAGCATAAATATCATGTTATTACTGCTGTTTGTAAACCACATTTGTCTATAACCCCAAAATAAATAGCAAAGTGATTCCTGCTCGGACGATATGAACAAACAAAAGAAATACAGTGACTTCCGATTTTACTTTCATTTTTAAATGTTTCCAGTGTGTCTGCTTACATGTCGTTACAAGTAGAGTAGAGGCTGGCACATACTGGAGTTTTAACGCTGATCTTGATGTTTGAGAGTCTAAACAAAAGTCAGATTTTGTTTTTACATATTCAGTTTATAGCCTTTAGAAGACAAGATTGATACTCTCTGTTGAATAGTATTTTTTTTACATGTTTGCCATAAAATCACCTAAAAAAACTATTTTTTTTTTACACTGCTATTGTTTATTGTGGACAGAGTCTGTGCACTACAGCTGAAGAATCATCAATACGTTGTTTCTGGCTCTTCACGTCTACACAGCAGCTGAATTTAGTTTCCTGGAAATCACGTAATGCGTGGCTGGGCTGCCTTTCTTATGGTTGAAATGAATTTGAATAAACAATCTGGGAATCTAATGAATTCTTTGGCAATGACCCAGATTAATGTTTACTAAGGAATAAACAGTATGCAGTAAATGTGTCAGTGCTGTTTAACATTTAACATTTGTTTCTGTTTTTTTTTCACAGTCAGAATGACAACTTGAGGACATTAAACATCCCGCTTTGACAGTGAGTTGACCTCAAAAATGGTTTTGTCCTGCATGCACGGAAGTTGTCAACATTGTGCAAAGAGTGGAGTTACTATTCAAAGTAAAATGTTCTGAAATGTTTACAGATGTAAGGCCCTCATGAGCAGGATTCAGCATGGTGGGAGACGGTACGCATTGGTTTTACATCTCACAAAGCAACATCTCCGGATGAAGGCGGTCGCTGTATAACGTCGATATAAGACATAAACTATCAACTATACCGTTATTCATTAATGAGCGAGTGTCGTTGTCTTTGTCCTCAGGGAAACACTCGATGCATCGACACACGTGTGCTCATCCAGGACACGAACATTGTCGCCCCATAAATGATGAACTATCCAGAGAGAATATTGTCATAAGAGAGCCGTCTGCAGAAACCAACTTCAAATCACTAATCAACATTTTGTACTTTGTCATAATAAAGTCTTTCTTGGGTCTTTTCCCTCTGTGGCTCACATTATTTCTTAAAAATCATAGGTATTTATCAACATTGATCCTATTTCCACAATATATTAGTTTGTATAAATTAACCTTTTATTGTCTAAAAAACAACCAAAACAGCTTTATGTAAACGAAGGCCTATATACGTTTTACTGTATGTAAGCAGGCCATTTTTACATTACCTTTACCTAAAAAGAAGGATTGCATTACAGAAAATGCTCTTTCAATAAATAACAATGAGTGTTCATACTGTTAAAAAAAATAAGGCACCATTTACAGCACAAGAGTTGTAATAAAACAGCACAAGAGTTGTAATAAAAGGGGTTTATTAATGTTAATAAATAATGTTTTGGTCAATTTTATTCATAGCCCAATATCACAAATTTACCTGAAGGGGCTTTACAATCTGTACAGCATACGAGACCTTCTGTCATTTAAAAATAATCTTTTGACTGGTGAAAACAACTTATGACTCCTTTATTATTTTAGTCTGAAGAGGACGACAGGCCGCTGACTTCCAAAGAGAACGAGGGTCACTAACGGGGCGGCGGGGGGAATGATGTCCTCCTCCAGCTCCTTTTCGGCGTCCTCCGTATAGACCTGGAGGGAAGGCAGAGGACAGTGGAGTGAGACGGGGCGATGCATTCATCATCAAATTATCTACAAGAGACACACTACCGATTATACACATTAAGTTCAGTTTAAACGCCATGAGCAGTATCTTTATAAAAACGTGGTACAACGTGTGGAGGAGCTTTCTGGTGTCTGAGAAAATGACTCTGATTACGTCATCGGGGTTTCCTTGACACATTTTTAAGGACAGGTTCACATTTTTCAATTCTTCCAAAGTTATAGCTCTTTTAGTTGGAATAATCTCCTCTTTGTGATTCCCTGGAAAAGGTTTCTCTACTGAGCTGAAGTGGAAGGATTATAACATAAAGAGGGAATTATGTTTCTGTAACTGTGGAGGATTCCCACTTGATCTGCTGAAGCCTCGTATTAACTTTAGATTCGTTTTTTGTGCACAGAACAAGGGCAGTGGACTTTGTCCTCCCCCTCACTCACATTAGACGCACATTACAAAGGGATCTAAGTATTGTTTTAGAAAAAGACGATCCTTTAGTGTAAAGCACGCTCTACAAAGTGAAGGTGTGGGGAATAGTCCGGGCAATACTGGACTTTTGAGACCAATACTGTTATTGATATTTGGGAATTTATAAAACCCTATTATGATATATGGTTTTTGGGGGTTCAGATTTGCTCCCATTAAATGGCATCTAGCTATGGATAGATAGGGAATAGTTGTTTGCATGACACAATAGTGCGATACATCGTTTCTTCACTAAGTCGCTGCAGTTTCCTTTTAAAAGAAGAAAGAAGTGGATAAATCTAGATCACTTGAAATAAAAAGCACTATTTGGGGAATGGTAGTACTTCATGTGAGATGGATTCGAACAAAAGACAAAATGCCAAAGCAATTCACCAGACACTTTAGAGTTACTTCAGCAAGTCTGCAGTAGACATTGATATGGAAAACCTTTAGGAGACAGAGGTCTTTAACAACACATATTTCACCACCTACAGAAACAGTCTTTACACACAGACCTTGAGGCAGTGGTTGGCTGGCGTGTGGTGCTCTGGACCCCTTTCTTTCTGGTTTGACTCTTTCTGACTGCTCGATGGGCAAAGCTGGTGGTCGGCCTGTTTGTGGCCAGATTTTGGTCACGCTGCAAAATGTATCTGATAGCGACGTCCATTTTGGACCCTGGGTTGCAGGTTGACCTCATGCTCCGGAGGAAGTTGACATAGCTGTGTAGAAAAGGGTAGAGCGGGTGGCCTTTAATGTCTGCCAGCGTTGCTAACGCCAAGATCCACCGCCGTTTACTAATGCGTTCTACCAAACCTGATCTTGTCCTTGTCCGTCGACTCGTACAGATCCTGCAGCGTGTCCGACTTGTGAAGACCAAATCCAACAAGGGTCTCTCCTTCTTGGCCTGACTGGAGGGATCTGTCGTACCCGCGAGGAAATCTGACTTCTTTCAAAACCTCAGGGTAAGCAATTGCGTATCGGGTCAAAGAATCCTTCAAATGACAAGACATGAACAATGAAATTTATGTTATTAATAAAGCTACACGGTTCATATTTAATTCAATTAAAAACACTTAATTTGTTCCTCAAGAAAATCTGAGACAAATACACAGAAACGACTCCTTAATACACATTTACTGTATACAGTTCTATAAAAACACAACTAAAACTGGTGTTATAGGAGGATATCAGTTCTTAAAGTGGGATTAGTAGGTGCACAGTGCTGTGTGTTGATGTTAGGGCTGTCGCAATATCAGATTTTTACTACATGATTATCACGGCCAAAAGAATTCACTAAAACAATATAATTGTGAAATGGAAAATTTGAAAAAATAAATATATAATGGTATCAGTCAAGTTCATCTTCAACTTTGTTTTCTGTGTGTTTTGTCTTATATATAATATATAATACCTTGAAACTAAAAACTTTTGGGAGCTTGCAAATGTCAGAAGGCAGACAGCATGTCCTGTTTCTTTGCAGTACCTTGTTGACCGTCATCGAGTTCTGACCCATTGTGTCCTGTCGCTGCTTCTGGTGATCACCCACCAGGTAGGCAGTGTAGCCCACATCATTCTCCAACAGCCATTTGAAGCTTTACCTTTGTACTGGCCAAACTGAATCATACATCTGCTCAGAACCAGCCTTTCGTTGCGAGCGTCCCCGCCCTCCGAGAGGACGCGTGCCTTCGCCTCAGCCTCCACCTCCTCTGGCGTCTTCACCGACACAGGAGGACCTCCGGGTCCAGCAGCTTGTAAAGGCCACCGACCGGCCACATGGTTCAGAGCCTCCTGGGAGGGCTTCGTCTCCAACTCCCCGGTCGAGGTCTTACGGAAGGTAGGGTCACCTTTCTGAAGAAGAGGAACAAAAATGACAACACCAGTATCATTTCAACTACCAATATTTTAAAGAGAGTACTTGAATATTTCAATTTTCAACTTACGTCCACACAGGCTTTGGTTTTGGAATCTGTAGAGAGAGATGATGCGGTGAAAGGCAGATCGACATAGACCCCACCAATATACACACTACTGACCTGCACTATTGACTTTACAAGACTTTTAACCAATTAATACAGTTTAAAAAATGACTGTCCTAATGTCCTTTGGGATTTTCATGCTTGAACTCATTTTAGGAGCCATGTATTTGATTTGTGTTTAGGTGCAATATGCCTTCAAGCACTAGGTGGTGTTTTGGTACAAGCCAGCTGGCCTCAGACACTATTAGGTTCATGCCAGTAATCACAGGGGTTTTGACTGTATCTGTATTTATTTTAACTTGAACATCAAACCTATTAGAAGTGACACTGGACACCAGAGGGAAAATAAACGCCATGATATAAAGCATTGGTAACTTTGTGTATTGTTTTTCTGAGCACATGCCTAAACAATTCTTACCAATTTGCAGCCAGTATAGAGGCTAAAGTACCAGACTTATAGTCACTACAAATGAAGTGAAATATAGTGTTTGCTTCTTTTCCCCAATCAGCAACACCTGCGATTACTGGCATGAACATAAACGTGGCTGAGGCCAGCTGGCTTATACCAAAACACCACTTAGTGCTTGGAGGCAGTTGTACTTAAACACAAATCAAATACGGCTCCTACAAATACATGTTTCAGTGTAGCCTACTGGTGTATATACATTCTTTCCATAGTGTATACTTCCCTAAGCTTATGCATTTATATTTACATTATTACATCTGTGGAGCAACCTGTCGTGTTTCTTGCCACCTAATGAATGAATAATGAATTTGATACATTGTTATTATAAATGTATTGATTGTAGCCGCTTTAAGGATTACAGCAGGAAGTGGTAGCCTACAGTTACAGTATGGAGCACACGCACAGCGTCCTGCAGGCAGCCTTGGATACTTTTTAATGGACTTCAGTCACCATTGTTTACTCACTCAGTGTCTCTGCCTCCTCGTTGCAGTTTATCAGCCTCAGTAAATCCTGAGCCACTTGAAGCGCGTTGGGCTCGGTGAAGGTTGAAACCAGCAGGTTTGTGATCTGCAAAACGCTTTTATCCTCCACATGACTGTAGAGGACCCGCGGCTCCTCTCTGCGGTCCCTCAGCTCCTGACAAAACGTAAGAAAATCCGTCTTACTCAGATTCCCCAGCGCGTCCCTCAGGGCGCGTTTGATTGTAGTCTGGACCATTTTTTTTTTAAATTATATTTTTCTATTTTTTAAAATTTCTTCTGGGAGGGTCTGCACGTAACAGTTCAAGTTACATAATTGCCCGCCTAAAATTTAGGTTACGCCTATTTGAAAAAGAAGGTCTGCTTTCTTCTGCTTTCTTGTTGTTGTTCTTGTTGGTACCGCCACCAACTGGTGTGGATCAGGATGTCTAGTACTTATGTGACAATTTCAATTAAAAAAGACAAGAAAAAAAAAAAACATAACAAAACACAACAACGGGCTCACATTTTCTTAATAATTATATCAATTAATCTAAGATATTGAAATAATACTTGATAACACTCACGTTTTGAGTTATTTTGCACAATATCCACTACATCCAACCGTACCTCCATCTTGCCGAGGTCTCCAATCAGCTGCCCTCTTTCCTGCTCATGTTTCTGACATTGCACAATAACATGTTCTATTGTTTCCTCTTGCCCACAATAGTCGCATTTTCCTGTTTCCTGTTTACCTATTCTTTGAAGCATACTGTTTAGGCCAGTGTGTCCAAATCTAAGCCTTGATCTGCCCGTTTCCTGCACATCTCATTTCTCCCACTTTCCTCTGAACTTGGTAAAACCATCGTCCTTTCCTGTCTTCTTCCCATTGCTTCTGCCACCTTTCCTTCAACCTCTGTTTAATGATACTTTTTGTTTCTGATTTACTGAAGCTGACTGTAACATTAGTGCAGCTATTTGTTGTGGCCTCTTTTGCCGCTTTATCTGCCATTTAATTTCCTTTGACCCCAATATGTGCTGGTACCCATAGGATTATGACTGTCAGACCCATCATTTGAATTCTGTATAATGTTTGTTGTATTTCAATAAGGATGTCTGGTCTACTCTCTGAATGGCTGTTCTGTAAGCTGGCTAATGACGAACTTGAATCCGAACAAATGATTGCCCTCAATGGTCTTGTGTCCTCTATCCCCTGTAGTGCTATCATTATTGCCAACATTTCCCCTGTGTACACTGATACTCCCTCAGTGACCATTTTACCTATTTTATTATTAAATTCTGGAACAATAAATGCCACTCCTTGTTTCCTAAATTCTTTGATGCATCTGTGAAAACCTGGAAATAACTGTACTGTCGATATGTGCCTGTATTGTATGCCAATTGAAATGATCCGCTCTACCCTTGTTCTTCATTTTTAATAATGTAAAATCTACTTTTGCATCAGGAAGTATCCACGGTGATATTGTTGGTAATAACTGTTGGACTGAAGTTTAATTTAGCTCAAGTTCTGTTGCTTTCTGTGCTACTGTCCAACCAAAGCTTCTTGTCTCCCTCTTCTCCTTTTCCCAGCAACGTTTTAAAGTGTCCTGTGTTGGATGTTCTTTGCTGTGTCCCTGTAGATTAGCCCAAGAACTCAATGCTAACTGTGTTCTTCGTAGTTCTAGTGGCATTTCACCAATTTCCACCTGTAATGCAGCCGTTGGGGTTGTTTTAAAGGCACTGGTGCATATTCTCATTGACTGATATTGAATAGTATCCAGTTTTTTGAGAGACGTGCTTGCTGCTGATCCATACACCACACAACCATAATCTATATAACTAATCCACTGTACTTGGCTTTCAAAGCAGTTCTATCTGCCCCCCATTCACCTCCCACCAAACACCTCATTATATTTAATACTTTTTTACATTTATTCTCTACTTTATTAATATGTACATCCTATGTCATCCTTTCGTCAAACCACAGAACTAAATATTTAATTCATGATTATATAGTTTCAGTTTTACTTCACCACCAATTTGTCTCCTTGTAAAGAACATTGTCTTTGTCTTATCTTTTAAAACCCCATTGATATGACTCTTCTACCTTCAAAATGGCTCTCTGCAGTTTCTTTACTATAAATTCCACATTTCTTCCCCTCTTCCAAATTGCCCCATCATCTGCAAATAGTGACAATCCCATCCCATTTTCAATTTCACTGAACACATCATTTATCATTATGGAGAATAGTAATGGACTGACAATACTACCTTGAGGTGTTCCATTTTCAATACCAAACTTTCCCGAATAGCTCTTTCCTGACTTCTATACATCGTTTTAATAAAAAATCCTTTATCCAACATTCGACCCTTTACCCAACTTGCAAAGTTGAATTAATAACCTTATCCTCCACATCATATCATATGCCTTCTCTATGTCAAAGAAGACAGCAAACACTTTCTTTGTTTATCTGTGCTTTCCTAATTTCATGTTCTAAATATAAAGCTGGATCCATTGTACTGAAACCACTCTGGTATTTATATATCCTTTACTTTCTATATAATATATGAATCTTTCATTTATCATTTTCTCCATTATTTTGCAGATATTTGATGTTAAAGCTATTGGTCTGTTTGAGCAATCTTTACCGGGTTTGCGTATCGAGACTACAGTGGCCTCCTTCCAGCTTTGAGGCAATTTCCCACCCTCCCAAACTTTATTGTATAATTCGAGTAATACTGTATATCCTTAGAAGATTCACTTAGATTGCTTAACATTATATAACAAATCTGATCCTTGCCTGGTGCCGACGTTTTGGTTTTCTTGAGACATCGGCTTAGTTCTGTTTTTGTAAAAGGCTTGTTTAGCAGATCACTAGTATCTTCCTCTTGCTGTAATAAATATTCATTTCCACTATTGTAGTTTCCCTTCCCCTTTTACCCTCTTCACTAATATTATCTGAACTATGTATTTTAACAAAGGTTTTGGCCAACATCTCTGCTTTCACCATCATTTAGGACTGGATACCCAAACTCTCTTTTAATCCCATTCATTCTTTTTATCATTTTATGATACTAAAGTAAGGTCTGTTGTCGACCCTGTCCCTGTTCTTAAATCTTATTCCAGTTCCATTTTCCTGGTTTTTTTATCTCCATTAATTCTTCTATCACTATTCCATTGTCATCATTACTATTACCCCATAATGTGCTACTGACCAAGTCAACAATAAACAGAGAAAATCTAAATAATAGTGAAGGGAGCTGAGACATTTTTGGGGGTAAAAAGATGTACCTTATTAATAAAAGACTCGGAGAAGATGGGAAGCCAGGAGGCCCAGGGGACAGTATGATTGTACAATGGAACGCAAGAAGCTTGTTAGCAAATGGACAAGAGTTCAAAGGATTTATTAAAAACCTTAAAAAGAAACCAGAAATCATGTGTGTTCAGGAAACATGGCTTAAACCAGCATTAGACTTTGTTAGTAAAGGATATGATAGTATTCACAGAGATAGAGTGGGAACTATTAGAATGGTAAAACTTTCAATCACTTTACTTGAAGAATTACATTTGATGTACAAGTGATATGTTGTGGAGATTGTAATGCTCATATAAAGACAGTTATTATCACTGTCAGAGTAGAGGTGTTTTCTCTCTGTAGCCTGTTACCTCTTTAACAAACTGCATTGAGTATTTATACACAGTCTGTGGTATTTATACTGTGTTCTGTGGTATTTATACTGTGTTCTGTGTCCTGTTTTTAAGCGCATCCGATTACAGGCGGAATGCTTTTTGTCTTATTTAGGACTTATTTGCATCTGTATGTTTTGAAATTGTGATTGTGACCTCATTATTAATTAACCCAGAATATGATTATGGTTTGTCTTGAACACTGGAATGAATTTATTCGGCTCCATGTTTCAGGTTAAATGAAATGATATAACTCATCAAACACTCAGGAATGATCAGCCTCACGTGACAGAATGAAATGATGATAAATTATGTAAAAAGTGTTTCGTCTCTCCAGCGCTCTCTGACTTTAATTGTATCCATAATAAAAGTTATTGAGGGAAACATCAGATCATGGAAAGACAAATCTTTCTAATAAATGAAGAAAGTTGTTTGTGGTCCTTTTGTTGTTCAGACCTACAATGAACATATATTTAAACCAGACGGTGAATCAGAAAACTAATCAAATATTAAGCTTGAGTTTAATCTGTGATCTGTCTTCACTCTGGTATGAAACTCCAGTGATGTTTAAAAAAATCAGATCAGTCCGATCGGCTACAGCATCCAATCACATAACTGATAATAATAATAATAATAATAATAATACATTTTATTTATATAGCGCTTTTCATAGTACTCAAAGACACTTTACATTAAAATCAATGAATGAATGATGAACAATGAGGGGGCATGTCGGCCGTTAAAAAACTTCCTGGAAGGCTGTTCTCGTGCGTCCTCGCTCATGGCTCCTCAGACATTCTTTCTCGCTCCTAAGTCATCATGTGTGCAGACACAAACTTCTCAAAAGTCTCTCCAGCTGTTAAAGCCGACTGACATCTGATCCAGCTGTGATCAGAGTCGCCGCATCAGAAACAGACGTCGCTTCATGTGACGCTTCAGAGGAAAGTCTCCACATGACTGTATTTTTCTATTTTTTTTTTAAAATTTCTTCTAGAAGGGTCTACGCGTAAAAGTGCAGGTTACATGATTGCCCGCCTAAAATTTAGGTTACGCCTATAAGAAAAAGAAGTGCTGCTTTCAAATGCTGTCGGAAATATTAACATTAGCCGTTCGCTAAACTCCTCCCAATCACAGCCTTACAGCAACCATAAAGCCATGGGATGAGAGAGAAAAGTACACGGACCAGAGCTTTACACGTGCACAATCATCATAAAAGTAGCCATTTTTTAGAAATGACATTTATTTTTACAATTAACAGTCAATGCAAAATGATGTATTTTTTTTATTCCTCTTTTGAATTAAAGATGTTTTTGCATCTTCATGAAATGAACCGAAACACTGACAAAGTCTCAATTTTGGGTAATAATGGGAATAATTCTGAATATTTAAATCATACTGCAAACCTCTTATGAACTAAAAATAAATCAGGAGTGAATTTGAATCAAATATGCTGTTTTAAATTTCCATCACCACGAAATTATCATTTATAATGCCTTACAGTCTGTTGCAAAGGTACAAAGGTAATTGGGATAGTCTTATGTGCTCGTAAAAACATTTTTTTAAAGCAATTGTGTGTTCTTTCTTGTCAGCTATAAACCACGTCTGTGGCTGCAGCATGAACAACACTCCATTCAGTGGAGTGTAAGCAGGCCAGAGGCTCCAGCTTTGTCTTATTGGTGCATCACATCTTGACCACAAGCTTTGCAGCTTTAGTTTCTGTCTGTGGGTCAGAAGTAGATGAGCCTTTGTAATATTCTTCTGCACATTTGCTGCATACCAATATCCTATATTTCTCTTAACGCTGAACCAATCCCATGAAAAGACAAAAGTGAACTATTATTGTCTGTGTATCCAAAGCCTGCTAGTATTCTATCGTATCATTCTGTGCAGAGCTTCATTGTAACACTATTAAAAACACATAAATGAGTCACATCGTTGCACTGGGTGACATGTTTCTTCCACCAGGTTAGTTTCTTCATTACTGTGAAGGGAAGGGTTCCTTGGTGGGTTGCCATGAAAGCCAAGAAGGGGATTGATGTGTGTGTGTGTGTGTGTGTGTGTGTGTGTGTGTGTGTGTGCACTCAAACACCTTTGCATGTGGGAGTCTGGGAGAGGAAGTGTGTCCATCTGATGAATGGACATGAGCCTGAACTAAACGCTAATTGTAGTCTCATTCATTTTTGCCCGGGACAATCTCAGGTGTAAAATAAAACACCCAGACTTTAATGTAAATGCTCTAAATTCATTTTGTGTGGACAGATGCTCAGTGTGGACACAATGAATGGAACATTATGCCAATCAGATTAAAGCAACAGAAAATGTTCAGAGCGAAAACATGGAACACAACAGGAGGGTTAAGTTCACTTTCAATTAATTAATTAATTAATTAATTAATTAATTACTATAATTGTTCATTTTTTACATTCAACTATAATAATTATTATCAATGATGTTATTTATCAATATATCTTGATCATAACATTTTCCGACAGCCCCTGAAGGCATCATATGTATCCATGTATGTATATGTAGTTACATCATAAGGAAGAGAACCTTATTCTTCTTCCTCTGCTGATATCGAAACATTTGCTCGACAGTCCGGGATCTTTCGCTGAGACATGGCCCCCAAAACCGCAAAACAGTTGATTAAAGGCGCGTTGGCGAACCTGTCAAAGGAAAACTTTGAGCTGTTCTGCGACGAGCTTTTGGACCGTGAAGAAGAGCCGCTGGTCAAACGCAACCAGGTGGAGGATAAAAACTACATAGTGGTCACAGATGTCTTGGTTTCAACTTTTACCGGGACCAGGGCTCCTGTAGAGGTTGTAAAGTTATTGATAAAGATCGGCTGCCACAAGGAAGCAGAACAACTCGGTAAATATCTCACGGCTTCATGGTTTTGATGTGGAATGAGAGCAGAATCTATATTCTGTCGTTAAACCCTTAAAAGTGTGCTTGCAGATAATTACGCGACAAATGACCACGTTTAATTAGGTGGTAATTTTGCAGCATAGCATATTTTCTACATTAACTTAATGAAGTTGAAATTTAAAGTGAAAAAAATAGTTTGAACCAACCCGCCTTATTTTTTACTTTCGCTTTGGAGCAGTGGCAGACTCAACTGTCTGAGGGTGAAATAAAGAAATACAAAGTGTACCAGATGCATGAAGCAGGGTGGTAGGGCAGCTTAAATGCACTTCATCACGTTTTCTTGGTCATTGGGCATCAAAAAGGGCTTTTTAATGTAATTGTTGCTGCTTTCAGACACACATACAGGGACCCGCCCGATCTGCAGTCTGTTGCCTGTCATGTCCTCTCCCCCCCACCGTCATTGTTATACAGTGGTTACGGAAAGTATTCAGACCCCTTTAAATTTTTCACTCTTTGTTTCATTGCAGCCATTTACTAAAATCAAAAAAGTTCATTTTATTTCTCATTAATGTACACTCAGCACCCCATCTTGACAGAAAAAAACAGAAATGTAGAAATTTTTGCAAATTTATTAAAAAAGAAAAACTGAAATATCACATGGTCATAAGTATTCAGACCCTTTGCTGTGGCACTCATATTTAACTCACATGCTGTCCATTTCTTCTGATCCTCCTTGAGATGGTTCTACTCCTTCATTGGAGTCCAGCTGTGTTTAATTAAACTGATTGGACTTGATTAGGAAAGGCACACACCTGTCTATATAAGACCTTACAGCTCACAGTGCATGTCAGAGCAAATGAGAATCATGAGGTCGAAGGAACTGCCCAAGGAGCTCAGAGACAGAATTGTGGCAAGGCACAGATCTGGCCAAGGTTACAAAAGAATTTCTGCAGCACTCAAGGTTCCTAAGAGCACAGTGGCCTCCATAATCCTTAAATGGAAGAAGTTTGGGACGACCAGAACTCTTCCTAGACCTGGCCGTCCAGCCAAACTGAGCAATCGTGGAAGAAGAGCCTTGGTGAGAGAGGTAAAGAAGAACCCAAAGATCACTGTGGCTGAGCTCCAGAGATGCAGTAGGGAGATGGGAGAAAGTTCCACAAAGTCAACTATCACTGCAGCCCTCCACCAGTCCGGGCTTTATGGCAGAGTGGCCCGACGGAAGCCTCTCCTCAGTGCAAGACATATGAAAGCCCGCATAGAGTTTGCCAAAAAACACATGAAGGACTCCCAGACTATGAGAAATAACATTCTCTGGTCTGATGAGACCAAGATTGAACTTTTTGGCGTTAATTCTAAGTGGTATGTGTGGAGAAAACCAGGCACTGCTCATCACCTGCCCAATACAATCCCAACAGTGAAACATGGTGGTGGCAGCATCATGCTATGGGGGTGTTTTTCAGCTGCCTGGACAGGACGACTGGTTGCAATTGAAGGAAAGATGAATGCGGCCGAGTACAGAGATATCCTGGAAGAAAACCTCTTCCAGAGTGCTCTGGACCTCAGACTGGGCCGAAGGTTCACCTTCCAACAAGACAATGACCCTAAGCACACAGCTAAAATAACAAAGGAGTGGCTTCGGAACAACTCTGTGACCATTCTTGACTGGCCCAGCCAGAGCCCTGACCTAAACCCAATTGAGCATCTCTGGAGAGACCTGAAAATGGCTGTCCACCAACGTTCACCATCCAACCTGACGGAACTGGAGAGGATCTGCAAGGAAGAATGGCAGAGGATCCCCAAATCCAGGTGTGAAAAGGTTGTTGCATCATTCCCAAGAAGACTCATGGCTGTACTAGCTCAAAAGGGTGCTTCTACTCAATACTGAGCAAAGGGTCTGAATACTTATGACCATGTGATATTTCAGTTTTTCTTTTTTAATAAATTTGCAAAAATTTCTACATTTCTGTTTTTTTCTGTCAAGATGGGGTGCTGTGTACATTAATGAGAAATAAAATGAACTTTTTTGATTTTAGCAAATGGCTGCAATGAAACAAAGAGTGAAAAATTTAAAGGGGTCTGAATACTTTCCGTACCCACTGTATCATTCAGTGCAGCTCACTGAGACACGATTACTGTAAGAAATAATAAAAAAAATGTTCCTTGTTATGTAGTCAAAGTCTCTCTGGTAAATAAAAACTACAAAGCCCATGTGTGCATATGTAGGTCCAGTCGAGGCTTATTTCCAGCCTAATACAGCAAAATGGCACAGCTGCTAAATGGAACCCTTTTCATGGCAGACATTTTGATTTGTCATAGTAGGACAGGTACTGTTGCTTTTCTACCATCTGACAAAAACACAATATTAATTCGGTTTTACACCGGAACGCACAAACATTTGCACAGACCAGTTAAAAATGAATTAAACATGATGAACATGTTAACACAGAACAAGAACTGTGTATTTTGTCTCACATCACACACATTGAATGTGCTCCTTTACCAACCAGTAACAGGAAGAGAGCTGGTTGAGCAGGAATACAAAACGCTCTCCTGTAAAATAATATTTTAATTAGCATGTGTTCGGGCATGTTGCAGTTTTGTGTTCAGATATGGAAATCTTTAAGACTCTTTTAGTTTGTCCAACATAAAAACAAACAGTTTTAATATACATATGAACATGTGATTATCATTTTAAGACAGACTTGAAGAAAACTGAACCACCACATTGTACATAAACCATAAAGCAACGTAATCTTATGCATAAACCCAAGATCCCAGTTTATAAATCACAGAATGTTTCCCACATTAAACCTGTAACTCAAGTTGTAATTCCATCATGTTTGTTGTTAACGTCATCCATCATCTAATCGTGTCTTTCTATCTTGGCAGACAAAGAGATTAATGGACAGTCCTCAAACCCCGGTTCCAGTGACAGTGAGTTGTTTTTTTACAGTTTTTGTTAACATGAGACTTTACAGATTAGCTGTTGTAGAAAAATGAGTTGCATTGAGTTGTTTTACAGTATTTCCAGCATTACGATGTAAATGTTAAGCTGAAAAACGATTGTAGATCTATTGTAGAATAAAAGTTTAGAATAGAATACAACTTTATCTTCCTGCAGAGTGAAAAATTGTCCTTAGCTCACCTAAACATAAAACATATTAAAAAAATGTAAAGGGAAAAATATGAATATGAATCATTCAAACGTAATATAAAATCAAGTTTTGATTTTGTAGGTTTGCAGCTCAGTTTTGGGAGAGACTAATGATAATTGAGTAAAGGGGCATTTTAATCAATATTTACACCACCAGGATGACATTTCCTGTGGCAAACTGCCTCCCTCTACATTTATGATGACACTGACTCGCCCAATGTGTTTTAAAACCAGGAAGAGGAAGTTGAGGACAAATTAAGTGCAGGAAAAGCATTTGAGAGACAAAGTCTGTGGCTTTCATTAGTTTTCTAATTTTATGATTAAATATGATCTTTTTACCTGCTGTCTGTATAGAAAAACAGTAGCATGTATGTATGACCACTAGCCCGGTCCACCGTTAAGCAATTTTAATTTTCCATACATTTGTTTCAGCTGTGAGACCCTCAGCCGGAGCAGAAGGTGGCTGCACAGGTACTATGATGTCTTCTTAGCTCATTTAACTCATGCTGCCTGTGATCAGTCACTGATCAGTTTAGAAAATTAGAAATCCAGAATCTGACTTTGAAACCTTGTTGCTGATTTGCTGCATGGTTGTATATGTACAACAGGTCTAACACAGGCTCAGGAGTAATGAAAGGAACGGATGAGTGCTGCGTAATATTATTACACTTTAAATGAGTAGTTTGACACTTTGGGGAAATATTGTTTTTTGGTGTTCTTTCTTGGAGTTGGATGAGAAGACCTCTGTGATGTTTGTGCATCAAGAAAATAACTTCAGCCTGGAGACATTTAGCTTAGCTTAGCATAAAGACTGGAAGTGAAGGGAAACAGTTAGCCTGGCTCCGTCCAGAGTTTACAAATCTAAACTAAGCTAAATGTCTATGCTAAGCTAAGCTAATTGTCTATGCTAAGCTAAGCTAAATGCCAATCTCACTCTTGGCAAGATGCCAATAAGTGCATTTCCCCAAAATGTCATCATAGATAAAATGTGGGAATGGCATTTGGAGAAAACTTCATTTTGTGACAGTAAGATGTTCCCTTATTCATTAGCTGTAACAACATGTACTCGTCCTGGGACCCACATGCAGTTAAAAAGGCTTCAATGAATGCAATACACATGCTACTGAACTATAGAAATCACTGTTACTTAATCTGAAGTCCTTTTCTTAGAGTTGTATCAAGTTGACTTCATGTTATCTCCAAATCTAATATGTCACTGTCATTTTTCCTTCTTTCCTCAGGGGCGGACTTTGTGGATGAACATTGGGTCAAGCTGATCGGTAGAGTGAACGGAATTCCATCCATTTTGGATGAGCTCCTCGACAAAAAAGTCATCACACAAGAGGCTTATGAGGAAATCTTGGCTATCCCTACCAAGAGCGATAGGATGAGGAAGCTCCTCTCTGGTCCCCTGCGTTCTGCTGGACCTAAGGGCAAAGAAGTCTTCTACAAAATCCTTGAGAGAACGGATCCATATCTCGTTGATGAGCTCAAGAAAAAGAAGTGAATGTTGTGGTGAAATGTATCTTTAGACCAAATATACAGTCTAACTGGGCCCAATTTTGTAATACAATAACAACGGGGGAATTTAATGCTATGTCTCTGTGGGGGTTTTCTAAAGACGAAAAAGCTTTTTGGCTTTATGTTTGAACAGCTGTTTCCTCTTAATGTTACCTTTAAATTAGTTTAAATGTGTATGAGGCGTGGTGCCTCTTCTGCCTGATCAGTGAGGATCATGATGAGATGAGTTTTACTTCAAGGTTGAAAACCAGATTCATCAAATGTTTATCAGACAATCAGGTAACAAATGAATGGAGGTTCTCACCAGACATGTAATGATTTTATCCAACAAACAACAAACGGAATGAAAGTCTGTTTTTAGCCGAATTATTTTAGTATGAATTAAAACATGCTTTATCATAAATGGTTTTCCATAAGTGTTGCTTCTAAAGCATGTTGAACCTTTCATTTATGCCATATATATGCTATTAATCACTTTTATTCTGCCCAATAACAATAACTTTACTTTTGGAGGGTCATTTAAAATGTTTTATATCTGGAAATCTATATACATTTATAATAAAGTCTTATGATTGCTATGTGTGGTTCTGACGTTTTCAGTGAATGGAGTGTTAAAAATGTAATATAAGGCAAATATAATGCTGTAATAGAGTTTAGAAACATTTGTTTATGTAATGTTATATGAATGTGAGGAGAGGCATGCATTGGTTATCTATCTCTCCTTTGTCTGACGTTCAGCACATGTTACTGAGGTGTTCTGTATTCAGCGTTTTACTCTTAGAGGATCTGTATCCGGCCGGATGGAAGGAGGCTGAGAGCAGAGTCCTATTTTAATGTGGAACTGCAGCGATTTTACACATAAAGTCTGTTTACAGGTATCAGGGTGCAAAGTAGCTGCTGCGTCAGTGCCTTTTGTGGCTCTAGAGGGAGCTGTAGGATAAATAATGGCAGTTTGGGCTAAAGACCACAAGCTCAAAACAGGAATTTGAGAGGTTGATTAATTATTTTGCATAATTTCTGGTAATTTTCAATAACTTCACTGTTATTACGTGTAGTGTGACAAAGATCACTTCGTACATCAATGAGCTCCTCCTGGTTATACTACAACAGTTATTTGGGAAGAATGCGCTTTTGCATAATTGTGGAGAATTTTTAAAGGAAAAATATTCAATAATTTCTCTTCAAATTCTGTTCAACCACCAAGGATCTCGTGTTGATAATGCTACAGTACTTAGTTTGGAAAATCTCATTTAATGGTCTTAACTTGTCTTTAAGACTAAATGTAATGTCAGCAATTTCTCCTCAGTCACCAGGATGCCTCTGATGAATAAAAACACCAAGTTTTTAAAGATTGTTTGCTCAATTTTGCTTTATTTGAACCAGAATGTACTTAGCATCAACGCTATTTAAAACAAAGTCCTATTTACTTTCCACAAACCAGAATATTGGTTTAGGCCACTTTCATAATGTAACATACAGACTCAAACACACAATACATCTTATATTAACTTAATGCTTCTTCTGAAAATACATTTCGGGTTAGAAAACCATCCCAGTGGTCATTAGTTAAAGTGAGGTTCACATTTAACAGTTTCTTGGTGCAATACCGTCTCAAAATATAAACATTTTAAAGGAAATTATTAGTGAACCTCCATTTCTTTTTATGACCAATAAGTAAAAAGATTTACTATCACTTTTGACAGGTGCTGTACAATTCTCCCTCTGGTGACGATTCCAGGTGACATTAGCATAAAGTATCAGTGATTTGGTCAAACTGGTGCAATTGTGAACCTATGTTCTGTATTGTGTATTTGTGTTGAATGAAAACAAAATATCACATACAGCAAGAGAAGAGTTCACTCATTTAATCTATATATACACCAATATGCACATATATTGTTATTATAGAGAGTTGGAGAAGAATCTTAATTATCTGATGTTTCTCTACAAACTCATACTGCTCAACCTTTTAGAGGTGAAATCTCAAGAGGTGCTCTATCAGGAAAAGAGTGTCACAGCTCGACAGGACATGCAGACAGCTGAGGAAGGATTTGTGCTGATTAATGCAAGATGGGGAAATGAAACATTGTGGAAAGTTTCTGACCAACTAACAGGTGTGTCTTTTCTCTCTTTCTCTCCGTCCAGACTGATTTGGAGGCCCAACGTCCTTGCTGCTGAAGGTGCAGCTGCGCTCTGAGCCGGACCTGTAGATGCTCAGCACCTCAGCGAGCAGAGCTGGACGTAGAGCTTTTTACAGAACTGAGCCAACGCTGCTGGTTCTGCTTCCACGAGCCGGAAAGATCCTGCAAGTACAGAAACACATTTCTTTTGTCATTTACCACAACGTAAACACAACTAAATCCACATTATTTAATGTGCTACATGTCACACTTATATTATAAAGTGTAGTGATTGATGGAATGTTGCAGGGTGTGTGTGTGTGATCAATTCTCAGATGTGATAAGTTATATACATTTCTTTTAGATTAGTTGATATGTCTAGCTTGAGAAGAGTTTGCTCAGTTGGTTTGAAGTGTTTTTGACTTTGTTGCATAGCTTATTAATACGTAAATCAACTGAAGTACATCGAATTGATTAGTTCCCATTAAAAAACACCACACACGTTGCCTAAAAAAATGGCTAAATAAGCTGAATACAGTTGATTGGGTGATCCTAGGTATCCTTTCTTAGAGTTCAATGCTCAAAAACTCTAAATGCCATCAGGTCATTTTGTGAGTGTGGTTTGATCAGATCAGACAGAAATCTGTAAACGTAAGACTTTAATTGACACATCCTAATTGGTGCAGGGACAAAGGTGACGACGCAGATATACCCTAATGGAAACAACCAAAGAACGTTTCTCCATGTTGGAAGGCATTGCTGATGAGAAAATAGTTTTTTTGAGCCTTTAAGGTGGCTGAAACTTTAGAGACACGTTCGTGGCCATTACTGCCCGGTTGCTGTGGGCCACCAAACTGCCCACCACAGGGTGCTGCATCACCTAAAAACCCTCTATTAGTGACTATACTGTGGAAAAGAAGGGTGATTAAAAGTTACAGGAAAGGAGGCTTAAACCTGACTTTTGAGTGAACCAGCCCTGGTGTGAGTCAGACTGAAAGGACACATTTGAAATAATGACATGTTTGTTATTTATAGCTGATGTGTTGTGCGGGACAGAGAAGGATGGTCGACTTGTAACCTTCGCTCGGTGGTTAACTCCGCCCAAACGATGAACCCTGCAGCTGTGAATCACTGTTTGAGTGGGACAGAGTGTGTGTGCAAAGACATTCGGAGTGTGTCCACATATATGTGTGTGTGTGTGTGTGCGTGTGTGTGTGAGGGACAGGTAAAGTGGGAAAAATAGGGATTTTATTCACCCAAAGTATATAATTAAGATGGGTAACAAAATAAAGCCAAAGTGACAAATCAGAATAACTATATAAACTTAACATAATTGCTCTAAAGTCTAAGTACAACATAACTAAACAGAACTTAGTTTAAATCAACACAGTGAGTGCTCTTCTGAACAAGAGACACAGCCTCCCCATCTCCTAACTTCATACTATGCTGGCCAGTCCATAGTTGATTGCAGGGGTAGAAGACATTCCTCCTCTGTGGTGTAGATGTGGTGGCTCCTGAGAACACCCCTCTTGCTGTTGTAGAATGGCACAGTCCAATTGTCCAGGCTCATCTACTTAGCAGGTGTGATGCAGTATGTTGATGGATAGTGACTCACTGAACTTAGAGAAGCGTATTTCCACCACTACACAGAAAATACTGTAATATGCTGATAAATTACAGTTATCTGCAGTTAACCGACGGCATTAACTGTTAATTTACATGCAAAGGATGAACATTTGACTGTATGTTACAGTTATTATGATATACTGTAAGATACTGTTGTGAATCCACCGTAAATTTACAGCAATTCATTACAGTGTAGAATAATATTAAATTAACTAACTAAACAATAGTGCGAAGATTTAACAAACAACAACAACAGTGTGACTGTTGAAGTTGTGTGATTGATTTGGACAGAGGTGATTTATTGTAGTCTTATTGCAGAGGGCAGGAATGTTCTCCTGTATCGGTCCTTGTGACAGTTTGAATAGTACTTGAGCATTTGGAAAATGCAGAGGCTTATATTCAGGAAAACATAATGTTTTCTGCGCTCATGGAGGACAGTGGTTCTCAGCTGGTCTGGCTGTGGGACCCACCATCATTCCTTAATGACAAGTCGTGGCCCAAAGAGATCGTCTTATGATTATACTTTCACAACTTGAACATTGCACGTACTGCTCTGCAATGTCTTTCCTCGTCTCAGCCCCCTGTGTCATGGTGTGTGGTACATCTCACTCAGTCAGAATGCCCATATTTTATTGGCTGAGCTGCATCACGTGATGATCAACTATGATCAGTTATAGTTCTTGTAATTAAATTCATTTATCAATAACTTTATTTAATTTCATTCACACATATATATATATATATATATTGCAATCCTAAAGCAGAGGAAATCAATCAAGACAGTTAACATTAACAGCAGCAAAACAAATGTCAGCAAACGTGTTTATTAACTTGCAGTAACACATGTGCATATACTTTATATTTTTTAAATAAGTTGCCCCCCCCACCCCACAGGCACATTTTCTCCAAAATTGTCCAAATCACATTGAGAAAATGATGAAAAGAGAAACATTTATCAATAAAGTTCACACAATCAACAATATCGTCCCCATTCACTTAAACTGCACTGGATGCACATGAGAGTGTGCAGGCCTCTGCCTCTGTTCTTACCCAGATACTCAGAGGTGAAATCTGATTGGATGAAAGCTCTACTTAAAACAAGCTGCACTGGAAGCAGAGCAACTGAGGAAGACAGTAGCTGTGCAATGAGAAAATAAGATAATGGGGAAAATATGTTTATTGTTTGTTTAAAATATGTTAATTACAATACATGTAGTGTATTTAAGAAAAATTATTAAATTATAAAATAGATATAGCTTTGTGATTCTGTTTAGGCCATCAGAGAAGGCCTTGCAGGCCCTGACGGCCCACCACTGCCACCTGCATTAACTCCTAAGCAATAGTAATGCTACAAGTCCCTACGAGTTAAACAACTATAAATATAATATAACAGCTAAAACAAGGAAGACATGAACAATAATACATAAAAAAGCAATTACAAAACAGCAATTACATTTTCTTTAAAGCTTCTTTTGAAACATTGAGGAACATTTTTTTGTTAGGTGGGAAAAGTCATTCCATAATTTGGTTCCTCTAAATCTTATTGAAAATGGACCTTTACTAGTAAGTCATTTAGGAGGATGAAGATGTGAAGATTGACGAGTTGAGGAAGAGTGAACCTGTGAATTGACTTTAAAGTAGGTCTTGAAATGATCAGAATATTCCCTTCACCTGAAAGTGTCTTATAAATAAAAACACAAATTCGAGAAATATTGACTCTGAATAATGATGGTTGAAGAAAAAGTGTTTGCTCATTCTTTAAAATAAAAATATTTTTTTCTATTGATAAGTGAATATTGTGAACAGATGATTCTGTATTTATGATCATTGATATTTTTTGGGCAATTTTTGTATCAACTAATTTTTTTCTGTGGTGATTTTGGTCACGTGTTGGCTCACATACTGCGGAGAAACTAGTGGTGGAATGTAACTAAGTACATTTACTCAAGTACTGTGCGTGTGGTACTTGTACTTTACTGTCAAAAATCACAGTACATGCACATTTTGAGATACATTTTCTCTTTAACCGGACAGGCTCGAGATTACACGTCCCAGTGAGCATTGTTCCGTTGAAAAGACGTATGACGATGCCCTTTAAAAAAAACGTTTTTGCATATTGTCTAATTTTGTACAGCATTTGTTGC